ATCAACGTGGGCGTAGGGCAAGGACTCCATATTGGGCGTGGAGCTCGAAGTTTGAGAATCGCGGGCGGATTGGGGATATTTATGGAAAGGAGAGTGAGCGTTAGTGGGTGGAGAGGTAATTACGCCATGGTTACAATGTTTGCGGTGGCCATGGGCGTTCCCCATAAACAGAAGGCGTTTGGAGCTTTAAATTGGGTTGGTATGGCGAAACCGAAATGGATAGCTATCGATTTCTCCGCTGCTTTAATCTCCCTGTAGAATTTGTAACAGTGAAAGCCGAATTTCGGTTATGCATGTCTAATTCTCTGTGGGAAAACGCCATTGTCGTCTTCTTCTACCTTGCGTGGGATTTGGGAATGAAGTGGAAGAACCCCATTCTTTTTCTTTTCCAATACCTTCCTTTTCTTTTTTAATGAAATTAACTATTAATAAGAAATTCGTGACTTTAGGACTGTCAATTACAGCTGAATTAAACTTATGTTGACACCCTATCAACTATTGGGAAGGAAAAATATGGCAAACTGTAGCCTCTTTTATCACAAGGATTATTTTATTTTCTTCTTCTAAATTTAAAATATTATATCACAAATATTTGTATAGGAAATTAGGGATAGGAGAAAAAATATAACCTATAATACAATATATAACATGGAAAATTGAGTCAAAAGTATAAATAAAAGTCAAATGTTTAAATCTCCATGTTTCAATATTTATTGTATTAGTTAAAGGAGTATAGCATAACAGTAATTGGTATATAACCCCAATCAAGAGGTTGAGAGTTCAAATCCCCTCTCTAACATACTGAAAATATATATCAGAAATTTTCTTTTAATAAAATAGAAATATTTTAACCATCAAATTATGTTATGATATTATTTACAACTTTTAAAAAAATACACAAAATATACCTCAATGGTAAATGTTGTTATAGTTAAATCTTGAATAAAAAAAATTCACTCAAAACTTGTTAATCATGTCAATTTTTTAGTAATAGTATTAATGATAAACTGAGTAAATAGACATAACAAGGTATAGATCCTTGACAGTTTGAATTCTAGATTAGATCATAAATTCCTCTCTTTATTTACGTATAATATTTTGTAAACAAAATATTTTAGTTTTTTAGAATAAATTGTACTCACATAACCCTAAACTAAAAGTTGTACTTTTGATCAAGATACCTTTTTCTTTACCATTTCCCTCTCTCTTGTTCAATTCATCCTACATTTTATTTTTCCATGCTCTATATGTGTATGTGTATGTATATTAATTAAATTTCATACCACACTTTATGTGTTTAGAAAAAGTACTTGGTTAATTTTCTAGACCCAACATGTAAAAATGTGGCTATATTAAATAGTTTCTAATTTTTTATACCATTCTTAAATTGCCACTTAATCCTTTTAAACTCTTAAAATCTATCTAAATGTATTAAAATTGTTTAATTAAGTGCTCCCATAAAATTGTTAAGATTTATATATTTTTCACGTGGGGTTGAGAAATCGAACTCACGACTTCTTGGTTTGAGATATATACCAATTATCGATGAATTATACTCACTTTGACAGTTGTCGAAATTTATTAACAAAAAATTGATATATTATTAAATTATTGTTTTGTTAACATGACTGAACACGTAGACATGTCATTTAGATGTCACCTCACAAAAAAACACACCCCTTAGTAAAATTTGATGTGTCATCCACAAAATATATTTTTCCCAAGGGACATGTTATGTTAATGTGTCTAGATTTTGAAAAAAAGAATTATAGAACTTAATTGAGAATGTTTGATACGTTAAGGATTAATTTGAAAATTTAAAAAAATTCATGACCAAACTTGAGAAAATTCAAAGAGATCAAGGAGCATGCGATATATTTAACCTAAAAATGTCAAGGTCTATTTTTTCTGGACAAAATTTTAATATTGTTTTTGTTATTCCTTAAAATATATAATTAATTGATGATCTTTGATACAAATTAATATTATTATTTATTAATAGGAAAAACAAACGCAGATGAAGGTAATGCGACAGTTTGAAGGTAGTTTCAGAGTCAGGTCCCTTCCCGCGGGAAAAATGAATGGGTGACGTGGCGGATCCGAATATGGGCCGGGCCCCAGCAGCGAGCCCGCCTTCTTCTATTTCAAGAGCGAAACCTCGCGCCCAGTTTCTCTCTCTCTCATCGGTGGAGCCTCCACTCCCCGATCTTCTCTCTCTCGCAGAAATGCCCGTGAATTTTTTTTGCCTCTGCGTCGAAATGTAAATACAAGTTTTTGTTCATAATGGTGACTTTGTAGGGTTGGCTTTCCTTGAATTTTACCCATGGGGTTTAAACCGGGTACGTATTGTTTCTCAATATTCCATGATCTTGCTCTTTTGTTTTGCTTTTTTTTTTCCCCTTCTTTTTTCGGTGGTGAAATGATGATGCGCCGATTGGTTGACGAGAGAAGGATTAGCGAGGATTTGATTGTGGATGTCTAGGAATTTTGAGGGAAATGAATGTGGCTTGGATGTTATGTGATTGTTTTGTTTGTCTCTTGCATTGTTGATATGCCTAGAATTTTAATTTCGTTTCTTTTCTTGTTTGCCTAATGTTTGATGAAATGGGTGAATAGCAAGAAACTGCATTCATTTTGTTGTTTAGGGAATCAAACCCTTTTGGAGTAGATTACCGCATTGCCATCGCGGATTTTTGTGGTTTTGGTGGTAGGATATTGAATAATTTTGATTGCGTCTTCTTGTGTTTTTGGTACTAGGCATCAGGGACCTGGAGACAGGGCTGCGTCTCTCGGCCAGCACCAGCTGTCTGTCTGACCTGCAGCCTCCGCTTTCTCCGACAACACCGACTTTGGTGCTGTCCAATTCAGGCAAGACTTTGCTCGTATCAAATTCCAGTAAGTCTCTGGTTTTATCCAATTCTGGCAAGAGGTTCGATAAGAAGAAGTATGTAAAGCAGGTGACGGGCAGACACAATGACACTGAGCTGCACTTGGCGGCGCAGCGGGGTAATTTGACAGCTGTTAGACAGATTTTGGGTGAAATTGATGCTCAGATGGTTGGAACTCTGAGTGGAGCAGATTTTGATGCAGAGGTTGCAGAGATAAGGTCTGCTATTGTGAATGAGGTGAATGAGTTGGGAGAGACGGCATTGTTTACTGCAGCTGAAAAGGGGCATTTGGATATTGTAACGGAGCTGTTGCAGTATTCCACAAATGAGGGCATGACCATGAAGAATAGGTGTGGCTTTGATCCTTTCCATATTGCTGCAAGTCAGGGTCACGAAGGTATCTTACTGTTCCAACATAAACTTCTTTTCCTTTTTTCTTGCTCCGAGGTTGTCCTTGATGACTGCTTTTGCTGTTTATTTGTTTGTCGCATAGAAATTTCATGACATAACGTTATTGGGAAAATGCTAATCCGTGAAGTTCTGATTGTCTGTATTATTACAACAGTCCTGATTGACCAATTTCTGTAGTGGGGCTGGACATGATTGAATCCACTAATGTCTTGCTTCATTCTTGTGTTCAATTTTATGTTCTGTTGATCCGTCTATAGATGGACTGGAGGACAGTATAGGCATTAAATCAATGAAATATCGTGTCACATTTTCATTTGACTGATCCCTAATCAATAATTGGTTTATCTCAGTAGAAATGAAAACTCTTTTAAGAAACAAGTGACCCCAAAAGATTTTGAACGAAGCATGAATTGGATTATACTTTTGTAGCTTTTAATAACATAGAATTACGTGCTTCTACTATTGTAAATGCACATGGTTCCTGAAGAGATGTTGTAGCTTCTTGAGAAATCTGCATGACGTAGTTTCAGTTCGACTCAGTTAGTAATTATCTTTTGCAGCCATCGTCCAGGTATTGTTAGATCATGATCCAGCACTGAGTAAAACAGTTGGACAATCAAATGCAACTCCTATTATTTCTGCTGCTACGAGAGGCCATATTGGAATAGTCAAACTGTTGCTTTCAAGAGATTGTAGCATGCTAGAGATATCTAGATCCAACGGAAAAAACGCACTGCATTTAGCTGCTCGACAAGGGCACGTTGAAATTGTGAAAGCTTTGCTCAACAAGGATCCACAACTGGCACGGAGGAATGATAAGAAAGGGCAGACAGCACTGCATATGGCTGTAAAAGGAACCAGCTGTGAAGTGGTGAAGCTGCTTCTTAAAGCAGATCCAGCTCTTGTCATGCTTCCCGACAGGTTCGGCAATACTGCATTACATGTTGCAACCAGGAAAAGAAGGGCAGAGGTATCAATTGGTATTGCAAAACATAATTATATTACTGTCATGTATTTTCCATATTTCGCCATGGTCATGAGTTGGATATTCTTCTTGTTTTACTTTCTTGTTTTCGGTTTTTAGTTTTTCACTTGAGTTTGAGGGACACATGGTTGGATATTAGAATATTGAAATAAAAAACACAATGGTACAAGAATTGGTGTCTAGACGTGGAGGATTGGGGATGTTTTGGAGTTTTATTGAATTGAAATTGAAAGAAGAGATACAAAGGTCTCTAAGCTTCCGGAAGTTTAGATCTCCCCCACAAGATTTTCCAAATCTCCGCAAAAACCTTGTCTTGTCCTAGCTACAAACAGTAACAGCTCAGCTAGCCAAGTTTTCCTACCCAAATGCCAAGCCTTGCCAAGAGTCTAGTCCCTCCATAACTGAGTCGTATCAGGTAGTTTAAGGTACTCGATCTATTTCACTAATTTTTAGGCAGCTGACGTCATGGATCTAGTTTGCCCTATTAGCCTAAGCCTTCCTGAACATTACAAATTATTAGCAATAGCTTTTGACAAAATTTACTGCAGAAATGGATACCTATAACCCCAAGGTTGGTATAATGGTAAAAGCCTTTCGATTCAAACCTATAATACAGGTTAAGAAATGGCTTAGACAGAGCTAACTTACTAAAATATCACCAAATGTTCTAGGTTACACCGTGCTCCCAGTTTCTGATGATTGGATTGGTGATTTTTAGGTGTTAGAAAGAGACTAGGTTCTTGTTCAAAATTGTATTTGCCTAACTTCATTTTTCTAAGAAATCTGGTGGTTTGATTTGTTTACTAGTTTGATTGTTTGCAAATGTTGAAGAATTGGAAAATGTAGGATATACCAAAACCAGCCAGTACAGCACGCAGAAAGAAATTTCCAAGGACATTTTCTTAAGTTTATTTATTTATTTTTCTTTTTCCTTTTTCAGAACCTTTTTGGGAGTCAAGTTATCTTAGATTAAATAATACTATTAAGATCTGTTATGAAATCCCGCTCATGGATCCTTATAATCTCTTGCAGATTGTCAGTGAGTTAGTACTGCTTCGGGAAACGAATGTGAATACATTGTCTAGAGACCATAAAACAGCATACGACATAGCCGAAGGACTTCCGCTATCTGAAGAAACCTCAGAGATTAAAGAATGCTTGGCACGGTATGGTGCAGTAAGCGCAAGTGATCTCAATCAACCCCGAGATGAACTAAGACAAACAGTGACAGAGATAAAGAAAGATGTCCACATTCAACTTGAACAAGCTCGCAAGACGAATAGGAACATGAATGGGATTGCAAAGGAGCTCCGGAAGCTCCATAGGGCTGGAATAAACAATGCGACCAACTCRATCACAGTGGTTGCCGTGCTCTTTGCAACAGTTGCGTTCGCAGCAATTTTCACGGTTCCGGGTGGTGATGATGATACTGGAATGGCTGTGATGGTTGGCAGTCCATCATTCCAAGTGTTCTTCATTTTCAATGCCATCGCTCTGTTCACATCCTTGGCAGTCGTTGTGGTACAAATAACAGTTGTTAGAGGAGAGACGAAATCAGAGAGACGGGTTGTGGAAGTGATCAATAAGTTGATGTGGCTGGCATCCGTCTGCACTACAATAGCATTTGTTTCTTCATCTTACATAGTTGTTGGTCGGCGTAACAGGTGGGCAGCGGTTCTCATTTCCGTCATCGGTGGCGTGACGATGGCTGGAATTCTAGGCGGGATGACATACTATGTGATCAAGTCGAAACGCATCCGAAGGGTGCGTAAAAGGATGAAGCTCATGAGGAGTGCAAACAATTCATGGCGTCACTCAGAGTCGACTGATTCAGAAGTAAATCCAATCTATGCCATTTGATGCCATCCTAGACTTCGAACACAGTTATCTCGCGACATCACCCGCCTTGTTGCAGTTCAGCACCAAGGTACGCGTGCTGTGCCGGGGGACGTATTACTACTCCCCCGGTTCCATTTCTAGACCATCATTCCCCGTTGATGGAGACATGTTTTTGCACAGATGATGAAACATCTGATCCAAAAGCCAAATGGGTTAAGATTTTTTTGGATGTCTTAGGCGTGTGAAGCGTACGATTTTGGAGGCTCTGTTGTATTGAATCGTCCAAGCCAGCTCCAAATATCCACAATGGTTAATGCTTATATATTTGCTAATGTAATTAATTACATAGAGAATCTTTTACTTATATCTAAAGAAAACTAAAAAAAAAAAAAAATAGTCAAGAGAAATTGCTTGCTTGTAAAGTGAAATTTTGTACCTTTGTTTTGCTCTTACTTTCTATGAAGAAGGAAGTTCTTGAGGAGAGTCAATTTTGATCATAATAAAATTCATTTAAAATATTTTGTATTATCTTCCATTCCCTTTCTTGCATTTATTACTCTCATTAGATCCAGAGACGTTCCTACGAAGAAACAACGATGACATTCAAATTTAGTATAAATTATTATTTTCTATGAATGATTGCAAACTTTTATTCACCACTCATCGATAAGAGAGATTATTGATTATTGAGATTACTAAATTAAAGTGGTATGGTTTAATTGATTTCTTCCTCATCTAACTTAATTTGACTTTGTTTATATTTTTAATTTTTTTTGGATGAGAGGATGTTGTGAGATTCAAGGACATGAAAAAGGATGAAGTGGGAAAGCAGAAAGCTGTTTTTGAAGAGTCATAAGAGAAACTTTTGCACATGAGTCTGCAAAATTCAAACCAAATTTCCATGTAATCTAAAACAGTCACTCTTTTGTTTTCCAACTCTGAAAAAACTTTTTACACTTTTTCATAAATGTTGAGTGAATGAACCTTTGTACTGTACCATCTGACCATGAAGTAAAAATGGAAGTATTTAAAATACTGAAAAAGTAACCCAACACAAATTCAACTCTCCCATTCAACTGGGTCTTCTCGGGGTAATTCAACTCTCCCATTCAACTGGGTCTTCTCGGGGTTTGAGATGTCTGGATGGAATAGACTTCAAAAAGGAGAGAGAAATTTGAATCTCACGTAAAAATTTTAGTACTACGGGAGTATCATATTCATTTCATGTACGTTCCACTTTTACTTTTATAAATTTTATAAATTATTTTTTAACATTGATAGACCTACATCATTTTTTTATGAATACAGGTGTGACAGGAAATGAATGGAAGACTCACCACTTCCTACCAACGTAACTAAATCAGGGACATAACTCTAATATCACTTGTCAGGGGTAACAAAACTCCAAGTATCCTATAGTGTTATAATATTGTTCATTTTGAGTATAAACTTTTTTTTTTTCACCAAAAATACTTCATACTAGTGAAGATGTAGTCCCTCACTTTTATATATACTATGATCTTCGCGTTATTTATCCAATATAAAACTTTGGTCGCATTATTAACGAATATTTTCATAGAGCGAATGGCATTAGTATAACAATATCATTTTCATTATCCCACATGTCACTATAACCCACTTCAAGTTAGAACATAACCACCAAAACAAACATCCAGTAACACACCATATTCTTGTTCTCACATATTTCATTAAACACGACGAAAACAAACGGAGGAGTCACATGTGGAAACGAGAACAAGAAACTTTTTTTTTTCTTTTTCTATTGGGTGGATAGAGATTATCAGCGAGAGCTAGGAACATTGGATTCAGAAGAAAAAGGGAAAGAAGATGACAAGTTAGTTGCAGAGGAAGAAAAAAACTCCAAAAAAACATATATCTGCAAGAAAATAATAATAATGTTGATGCTTTGAACCCTTTTCTTTTCTCTGACACTCTCCACATGCCCTTCTGCTCACAATAATAATTTCATCCACAAACACATCTCTTCCTCTTCTCTTAACACTACCAAAACTTCTTTCTTTCCCCCAAAATCTATCACATTCAAATGTCCCAAACATGTAATTTCTTTGTTCAATCAAAAGTACTTCTCAAGATCTAAGCCCTGTTTTGATAAAGATTTTGTTTTTAGTTTTTGTTATCAACTTTTAATGTGTCTAATAGTTGTTTAGAATTTGAAAGGTGTTTGATGAGTTTCTAACTTTTTAATTTACGAACTTTTAGTGTTGTGTTGAATAGATCACTAAACTCTATAAAGTGTAAATAAAGTTAAGGATATATTCGATTTTGTTTGGAAATCGTACGTTTTTCAATTCGATTGTGTATTATTTAGAAGTAAAGTTATTGGTTTTCTTTTCTTTTGACATGCAAGCCATTTATAATATGACTTTTTTTTCCTTTTTAAAAATTTGAGTTTGGTAAATAGCAGTTCCAATGTACAAAGTAATATCAACTCTGGTGATTAAATCAAAATTAATAATTTTTAGTGAAGTTTAGTAACTACTGACACGGTTAGAATCATTTTTCACTAATGCTAAAATTACTTTTCTTTTAAAAAATGGACATGTTTGTGAATAATTTTTAAGTGATTTGGCAATTTCGAAGAAAAAAAATCCTTTCTAAAATTTTTTATCTCCCTAACCTTGTTTCTGTTTTTTGAGATAAGAACCTAAGAGGATGAGGGTTTTAACACGTGATCTTTTGGTCGGAGATGTATGTGTCTTAACCAATTGAGCTACAAGTTCGTCATTCAAAATCATTCTTAATTTTATAAAAATCACTTGACAAAATGTGTAACCAAACATCAAAATAGTTATATAAAAATCATTTTCACAAAACCACTTTTCATTAAATCTCTTTTACTAAAATCACAATCATTTTCTCTCAGTTTAATTTTATAAAAAGATTATTTATAGGTCGTTAATAAGCTTACCTTTCCTTGAAGTCCAGAAGAGAGGATTGAGATCATTTTAGAGAACAAAATCTTATGGATGCTCAGAATCAACCAAATTTCTATTTTATTAAAAGGCAAAATATTTGTTTTTTCTTCTTTGTTCTTCTGTTTGGTGAAAAAGAAAAAATGGTATATTTATCAGCTTATCACTAGAAGATATATCATTTTTTATTTTTTATTTTTCTTTTTTTATATTGATGAGTGACTTGAACTGAAGCAAACAAATATACAAATATTATTTGATTGGATTGAAATAAAACAAAGTTTGCAATATCTTTTTGATTTAAATGCTTTTCTTGTCTTTGTGCAAATGGGCACATAAACGAAGGACAATTCAAGTACTTGATGATAAAAAGACAAAATAAGAAATTAGCACTAAAGAATTCTGCGAACTTAGATCTCGTTTGATAGTAATTTTTTATTTTACTTAAAAAAAATTTATGTTCGTTTAATCGCAATTTCTTGACATTTTTAGCTACAATTAGAAGGGAAATTTTTTTTTAAAAGATTGATTAAAAAAAAAAGTGTTAGTAAACTTAGTTGTCAAAAAATATGTTGATTTTTTTTTCCTTTTTGTTTAATGAGATTAAGGGTAGGGGAAAGATCTAAACCCTATTTACTGTAATAGTAATTGTTTAATGAGATTTAAAATTCTTGTAATACTATTTACTGTATCTACCTATCATACCCACTTTTAGACTAAGTATGAATTTCAATAAAAGATTAAATGATCAAAATCTAAATTTTAGGTAAAAAACTATCATTAAAATTCTAATAGTTAAACTATTAAGTTATATTTTAAAATATATATATGAATAATGTTCCGCATGTCTTAAATGAATAATTTTTTCTTTTTCTAAAAAAAGCAAAGTGGGATTGAATAAAAATAATCAAAGATAGTACATAAAATGTACTAAAAATCTTGACCATTTTTCACATAGATAATGTGAGCTAATTTTTGCAGTTGACCACTTCCACTTGCAATCATGCTAGTTTTCAACATGAAATAATCCTTTTTATTTATTTATTTATTTATTTATTATTATTATTATTATTTTTAAAGAAAGTGTTGTTCCAAATTACCAACTTCACTTTCTCTTCTTATACAATAAATAAATAGAATAAAATAGTTAACTTTCTCTTCTAAATCTTTGGCTAAATAATTCCCTCAACCAAAAGGGTTCCAAAAAAACATTTAGATAATTATATTTTTATTTTTTGGAATTCTTCTATGATTTGTTTATATGACTGACCTACCCTGCCCTTCATGATGAAAGTTGTTCTTCCTTTCAAAATCAATCATGAATAGTATATTCAAGCATGCAAAATTTTTTACTTTTACAAGTGTTAAATTGTTCTAAAATAGATTTGAAAATAATTACCAATTACCAAACAATCTAGATTTTTTTACCTTTAAAATAATTTTGACTAAATTACAAAAAAATACTCGGAAACTTTGCTCTTTATTTAAAAAAATATCTCTATTTCTCTTCTCAAAAGTTTCAATACTATCATCAACCTTTCGTGAACTAGAAATACATTCTAAACAAATATTCATTAATATTTTGAATGGAAAGTAGAAAATCTAGAACAAAGTGATAACGAATGGAAGCTTGCTGAGGACGATTTGCTTGTACTGCAGTAAATTTGACCTTTAATGATGGTTAAAAAAAATCACAAGTAGAAACAATGACAGACCCATGATTGATCACGTTAAATTTCAAATTTGTTGTCACGTAGTTATAGATTCTATCATTTCAACTATTCGTTCAAAATATTAACGGATGCTTACTCTGAAACGAAAAGGAAATTATTTTTAAAAAGGATAATGATTATTTGGCTCTTTTAGCAAGTACTTTTAGAAGTATGGTTGTTTTTTATACTCAATGCTAAAACAAATCTTCTTTTTGTAGAGATGACTTTAGTCTATCAAATAATTTTAAATTATATAATGTCACATGTGTATCACATCAAGTACTTCAATTAATGATGAAAATATCAATAATTAACGAATGCAAAATAAAATGTTCAAATTATATCCCATTTCATACAAGAGTTATTGTGTTAGAGAAATTACAAAAATAAAGGATAATTGGAATTACAAATCATTTGTCACACATCAAAAGGGAAAAGAAATTAGAGTAAAGCAAACATACAATCACTCGTATATTACTAAAGAATATTGTTTTAAAAAATTTATCAAACGATTGCAAAGAAAAAAAAGAAGTAACATTTCTAGAATTAATTACTATTGTCGTAGGCTTCATGAATTACCCAATACGACAGTCACAATCACAATGCTAAAAAACCTATTATGAGGCATAATTTGACATAACACGTGGCCCATTCCGTTTGGACATGTGTATGGTATGTCTGAACTCCTGCTTGAGAAAGATTTTGACCAACACGAAACAAGTTCACTGACATTTGATGGAAGGACGAATCTACTAACAAAATATCTTCTCATCGTCGATGAAAAATCTTTCAACAGCCACAACTGCATAATCTCCAATTTCCTACACTCCCCTCTCATAAAAGGCAGAATCTAATCTCTTGAAATCAAATCCAGCTCGACCAACCAGAGTATAGTTCAATTGGTTACGACATCTATCTCTGACCAAAAGATCATAAATATCAAAATATATAGTCAGTCAAAATCCACATCGGTAATCAGAGCCACATAAGGTGCAGCTTACGTGTCACCTAGCTCAAAAACCCGCATTAACAAAATCAATCATCAAACCTTCTATACTTTAAATACAACTATCGATAAAAGACTTATATTACTTATCATTATAATATGTGGTAATATTTGGAGGATCCATATAGCATGTGAGAGGGATAGCACAAAGTATAAAAATCAATCAAACCAATATTAAACCTTTCTCTTCTCCACTTTTTTCTTTCCCCTTCCACCAAAGAGAGAAAGAAGATAAGCAAAAAAATGAGGTGTTTCCACACTTTTATGCACTTGGGATCTTCTATGGTTGATTCTTTGAGAGAGTGTAAAGGCTGTATAAAGCTGCCTCACAGTTTCAGACAGTCATTTGGAATCTATGCAACAACTCAAGAGAAGAGAGAGAGGAGAGAGAGGTTAAAAAGTTTTTTCTTTTTTCTCTTTTTTTTGTTTTATTTTGTATTTTTTATTTTGAACTTTATTTTTCTTCTTTTATATACACTCAGCTCGCAATGATAGACAGGTTTACTTCTGCCTTTCTTTTTAGCTGTCTATCATTGAGTGGGAGAGGAGGGAGAGGAGAAGGATGCTGTTAGATGTATGTCGACATATCGACATTCCTGTATATTCGTAGGTTCGACATCGACACGAAAGGTAAATTGACATTTCTATACTATTATAAAAAATCGACAAAATATGAAAAATATCAACAAAATCTCACTAATATAAACATGATATTAATATCAATTGTTTTAAACTTATTTAGAAAGGATTAAATACTTATTTGTTAATTTAAATTCTTTTTACGTATTTTTTTTATAACTATTCTAGAAATATCTATCAACGTCGACATTTTATCGATATTTCCATCTACATCGACGTATAAAACCTCGAGGAGAAGTACTTCATAAACAACGGAAGGAAGGGAAATTTTAGGGTATCCTAAAGTAGTTTGTAGGAGAGGGGACCCTTCAAATTTGGGTAAGTCTCCCCTTTGAGAACCCATTTTGTCAAAAATGAACCTACATTTGCCCTTCAATTCTTCAGTTCTCTAGTCAGTTTGATGCTATAGAATCATCCCTCCCTTTTAGGTTTTAAAAACTTTAGGAAGGAATTTGTTCATGGGTTAACTATAGGCATAAATTTACAAATATGGGCCACCAAATCTTAGATTCAACTTTGTATTAAACTTGAGACGACTTACCATAGAGTTACTCAAAATGAATGGAGTGATGTTTTGATATCACGTTAAATCACCGATCAATTCAAAAGTTTACGAGTGTGCGAGAGGAAAAGACTCAAAAGTATTCAAACCCAAGAGCTGTTTGATTGAACTCAAACAACTATACAATTTTGTACAGAAATGAAAGAACAGAAAGATAAAAGAAAAAGGCCATATTCAATGATTTAGACAAACTTGCTCCAACAATAAACTATCTTAAAACTATCTTGTTCTTGTTCTTGTTCATCCTGAAACGGAATCCTCCATTGTTGAACATCTCTCTTCAACTTTCTCAGCAGACCCTCCATTAAAAACAGGGGAAACAAAAAACAGAGTATCCATGAGAGCATTTTTACCATCAAATGGAGCAAAGTCCTGAACTTTTCTGATCCCCACAAGGCAAGAAAATCTTTGAAGCAGATAGAGAACAAGTTTCTGCTTGAGATTCCCTTTCATTTTTCTTTGAACTTCCAAACAGCTTCTGAGACTCTTTACAGTGGGCAATTGCCCCTTCAATTGAGCTCTCAATCTCTGAATTTTCACTGATACTTCTCTTAAACAACTGCAGATCAGAAAACCCATTTGAACTGAAAGAAAAAGAAGAAGAACCAGAGGATGAAGCTGAAGAAGAAGAAGAAGAAGAAGAAGAAGAAGAAGATTTATTGTTAGTTGCAGAAGAATTCCTCTGAATCGCCCCTGAAAATGACCTTCTATGGTTATTCAAAATCCCACCATAAAATTCCTCAATTTTCTCCTTCTCTAAGCCACTGTTTGGCATCTTCCATTTGTTATAATCGATTTTCCCAAATGGGTTCTTCTTCACAACTTTATCACACTGCCCTGAACTTCCCAAAACGCCCTCTGCTGTTTCTTCATTGAAAACAGATTTAGCAGAGGACTTGTTTGAACAGCCAGATTTCCCAAACATGGCCTTGAAATAAGCCTGTGAAGAATTCTTCAATTGCTTCATTTTTTTAGACCATGATTTTCTTGGAGGGTCCCCCAAAAAGCCCTTGATTTCTTCCCCTCTCCATCCCACCAAATACTCGTCTGGGTTCAGCTCGCAACTCGCTCTGCACGACTCAGTGGGTGAGAAACTGCCCGACTCGAGAGGTGCTGCAATGGAAATTAAAGGAATTGGGAAATTTTCTGAAAAAGATTGTTCTTTTATTGATGGGTTTTGGGAGGAGGGGCTGTGGAGGAGCTTTTGGACCATTTGTAAACGGGGAGGGAGGTGGAGGGGGAGCAATTTTCCCTTGTAGAAGAGCTCGTCGGCCGGCGAAGTTGCCGGCTCTGTTTGGCCGGAAAATGACGTCATCTGGAATTGGAACTCGAAATCTCTGGACTGCGGTGGGGATTCGATGGAATAGCAGAATAAATTGGAGGAAGAAGAAGATGAAGAGGTGAGTTCCATGTCAATGTAGTCTTCTTCCGGG